TTGCTTTCCGTTCCCCTTGTGTTTTATACTTTTTTTATAATCTAGATGTATGTAAATATATAATCAACATAACAGCTTAAGATTTCACAGAGAGAGAGAGAGGTTTTTTATAATTATATATTTTTATTGCGACTTAATATAGATATATACCTAATTAGAAAACCAATTGAGGTCAAGCGTCTCAATCAAGAAAATCATAACAGGAAAGCTGAAAAACCTAGAGGTTGCCCAAAGTTAATAATGAAGGTTAGATTCAATAAAAAATATATGTATATATATATAAAATATACATATTACGTAATATATATTATATATTATTATTATTTTTCTAAGTTAGGGTAGACGAAATCAGGTTAAACAAACTGGAGGAATATAAGCAAAATTCATTCGTGGACTGACAAAACTCAAAAAGTAGAAGATATTTCTTTACTAGGATAAGAAAAAAAATATTTTAATCGAGGGAAGAAGGTTAAGAAAAAAATGCATACTTTTCTCTCTAATAAGAAATTTTTTATTTTTTTTAAATAAATATATTTTTCCGAATCATATAATCATTCTACACATAAAAAAAGAAGTTTAAAACACAGTTTTTTAGACCTCTTCTAGATAGTTTTCTAGATTCTTAAAAAAAAACATTTTAATGTGTAAATTATTTGTCCAATTCAACCTTGAATATTACAAAAAGAAGAAAAGAGTGGTCTTGTAACAGAGTAAAACCATCGAACAGACACAGAAACATTATAAAACTAATACCTTCTCAGCTATCGCATAGAAGCTACAATTAACTAGTTAATAACACTATTACAGTAAACATCTGGTGCTGATGGTACGCTTAGCGTGTACCCTTAAGTCTTAACTAGTAGGCACCGCATTGTCTTAGAAGGCCAAACGCACAAATTAAAAAAAAAACGCGTTTTCTGTAAGAAAGTTCAGTGTGAATTTTGCCCGAAACTACATAACCGAACCCTTTGTATTGTTAGTAGTGTTGGTTGTGCTATCAAGATAATCGGTGCTAACTCGATGAAAATGAGCACTCAAATCTTATCGCCCGAATATAACTAATCAACAAGAGTGATAAATGGGGAGCCATATAACCTCATCGCAATTACACCCGACTAATGAGAACTACAAGAACAGGAATTTTATGGCGACCGTACCGATTCGAGTATAATTACAAAACGGCGCTTGGGCTGTACGAAAGCTCATTGATTTTTATTAGAGGCTTGTAATTTTCGGCGACGTTTGAGTACTTATAAAAAAAAAAACTTAGTTAAAACTTCAATCTTTGTAGCGTCGGACGTGTCTGTTGCGTTGTCGTCATAGGCTGGCAAGTGCACGGTTAAAAAGGAGGGCGTCGGCTTCTGTGCAATAATGTTCGAAGAGTACAGTGTAAATAAGAAAGAAAAAAAAAGTAACGATCCAGGGAATACTACTTGCGTTATTAACTATTCACGAATCGCCTACTGTGCCGAGCATCACGTTTTGACGGTTCTCGAAGAGGGAAAAAGTAAAGAAAGAGAACGAAAATCGATTGCGAAAATAAAATGAAAGTCGGACAAAACCTCCATGTGGCCGGTGTTGATACAAATAACATATTATAGGTACCTGCGTTTATTGGGTGTGAGTCAATATTGATACTATAAACGGAGAAGCCGAGGTTGCCGTGTAGTTTTGGCTTAGGTACGTAACGTGTATGTGTATATATATATATATATATATGTATACACATTACACATACATTTTATTACCTATACACTATGTATAGGACAGGCTTAACCGCTGATCAACAACCGACCCGCATCGAATTTAAATTGGTAATTCAACTTGGCTATATAAGCTGTCATTCGCGCGCCTTTAGCGATCCAAACAACCCCAAAACCGACATTGCGGCTCGACAAAGCCAACCCTTCAATTAATTTACGGCTATACACACTACACTATAATATATATTCGAGTTAACCATCGATTCGGTATTAAAAATGCAATCAATTGGCGACCGACAACCTAATGATTGGTTTTTAACTGAAATTAACTTAATTGATGACATACCTATTATAAAGGTCATGGAAATCATTTTAACGGTATGGCGACGATAAACAAAAAATACAGTTTGGAAAAACTACAATGCTTGGCCAAAGCGGATAGTAGTGCAAAATGTATTCGAATAATGAATATTGAATATAAAATTAAAATCAAGAACAACCCGACTGACTGGAAGAAACTTTTTATCATGAATAATTCTATTCAAATTACTTGAGAGAATTTATAATTAATGACAATCAATTTTTTAATCCTACATTTTTTAGCTTAAATGCGGAGCTGAGAAGGTACCTACTTGTTTTACAGTTATGTACATTTATTATTTATGTGTCTGGACTTACAAAAAGCTTATTAACTTGCGGGTCGATTTTTTCAAATAGTAAGTCTATAAAACAGAAATATTATAAAAAGTACTTTATTGGGCCAAACTTAAGACAATGTCAACACACACCACATTTTAAGGGGTTACGTAAAGGCAATTTTTGGAGTACAATACAGTGTTAAAAATTATTATGTGTTAATTAGTTATTAATTTTTATTTTGTGGAACCTTTTTTGTTATTTTACAATATTTTACAATATTGGACATTATTCAAATTTTTGTTTTTTTTTCCTAAAACTCTATCAACTTTTTTTACTTTTACGGTATCATTTTGACTGGTCGATAATTAGTTTTGGATAATTACTTTTAATGTTATTAAAGTTTAAAATTTAGGACAATAGAGTAGAGTAATGCGCGCAGATAAATATAATACTACACATTTTACACCTCCTATCTTATATCTTAAATTTTAATCAATGTTTATTTAATAAAATAGGTTAATTTTAAACATTAATAACTTAAAAAATAATTATCCAAAACTGGATTATCGACCAGTCAAATTTTCAGCAAACTATTCTTTATTTAAAAATGTAATTAAACATTTACGTTACCATAGAGGTTTTAAAACGGTTTTTGACGGTTAGGTTGTTTAAAGTTTAGAATCTGTATACCTAGGAATAATGACGTTAGAGTGTTGTGCAATACTATTAAAAAAGTCGGTTTGCCAGTCGTGTATAATTCAACCCGACAGAAGCTTCGTTATCGGATCAAAAGCGTTAACCCGGCTGGTCCTCGGGGACTTAAGTCTGTTGTTCAAGTTTGATTCTCGAATGGTCCTTAAAACGAAACTTATAAATAGATGTACTCCAACAAGCTAAGATGCACAACACGGCTACGGGCAAGGGTCGGTCGACCTTATCTCCTGCACCGAAGTTCCACCAAAGCACAAGCCTCGTCCTACTACCACCAGCTTGGATAACGCCATTACAACCAAAGCTAGATCTATATTATATAAATTAACACAGATAGGGCGTTTTATTTGCTACCGAGAGAGCTTTTGAATATTCAGTTATTTAAATAATCCAAAACCGTCGCCACACCGGTTTACCGTGTACAATATTGTGTGCGTGCGACAGTTAAATATTTGAAGGGCGGTCTGACTTCAAACCAATAATAATAATAATGATATCTAGTTGTTTGCCAATGCCTAAATGCCTTATGCATAATATATATTATGCTCGTACTATTGTCGGGATTTTGTTTTTAATTAGTCACGAGAATAAATTTGAAGAAAAAAAAACGTTTATTTTATATCTTGACTTTTCTGCGAACAATCTCTGCATATATATATAGACAATAATATATTGTTTTTTTCTCAAATAAAACAAAAATTTGACTCAGAAAGTTCGAAAAAAACCATAAAGGTCGCCATTATTGAAAATCCCCCTCAACTAAAAGAAATGTTTGATGATAATTTCTAGTGTAATTCTGTAGGGTTAATACACAGCTTAGCCCATCAACAAACTAAACATTCCCAATAAAAAAATTGACTTGTATGATCTTCTTCTTCTTCGCTTTCATTCTAACTCTGATCTTAACTATTTAGGGTAGACCCTCCTTGTCTTAAACCTTCACTTGACCCGATCTCCCACATCATCTTTGCATACACTAGTACTCCTCACATTATTCTTAATCGCGACCAACCACCATTTCTGCGGTCTTTCTCTTCCCTTCTTTTGTCCTACCAAACCGTACACCTAAGACTAATTTTATTGTGTTATCAAGTATCAAATGTGCGCATAAAAACTATTAAATACACCTACAAGTGAAAATTAGACTGAAGGTAGAAGATTTAAAATATGGTTAAAAAAAATAATAGTTTTTCTTAAAAAATCTGTAGTCAACATTTTTTTTTATAAAGGAAAAAAAATAGAGGCAATTGCACTTTGACTGTTGTAAATGTCCAAGTTGTGAGTGAAAAGTTATTTTTAAACATATTCACGATATTGTTAATATAATTAATGGGCAGACTTTCAACCCTAATCGTATCCTCCCACTAGAGTGTAGCTTTTACAATGCTTTTATAGATTCTACTAGTATTTCTATTATTCGTAGTTCCCATCGCGATTCGTCAAGCGTTTATTTGAAAGTAATCTTATCGCTTGCAATTGTAATAATTCCTGAAGAACTGTAATTTCACCGCCCCAATATGCCCTGAACCCACAGCAGTGTACAGCCTTTTTTTGGGGGTAAAACAATTCAACTAGGCAACATCATTCATGTCATCATCAAGTATGTTGTCTAGCGTTAATTCAATTCGAGAACCTGCGTATGTCCTACTATATAATCTACGGTGGGGGAAGTTGGCTATTTAATAGAAACTCGAATAATAATTATTATTTATTAAGTATTAATAGCATGTTATCTAGTAGACCGACACTCCAGGAACATACCGGAAAACGGTTGGAATATTTTTACACCACTTTTGACCGTATAACGTGTACCGCCATCTGATGGTTAAACGTGTAAGCTGCTGATATTTCTGATGTTGATAAAATGAAACAAGGGAATTTTCACGGGGATTTCTATTTTCCAAATAGTGGCAGCACCCGTTGGTATAAAAAATCAATGCTCACATTGACAATTGCCAGCTTTAGTTCAACTTCAACACCACCTGACGCACTGCCTTTGACCACGTTGACCGTCGTTTATTGTACCCACCTGGCCAACAATAATGTTGGACTACCGATTTTGATTTTTCCAAAATGCCACGCGTTCGCCACAAGCATCATCGACCAGACAGAATTTCTCAAAAAACCGACAAATCCGCCCACAGGTAAATCAAATATTATATATATTATTATTGTTCGTGGTATCGATCGGTGGGTGGGGTACAGTTGGAGGGGTAAGGGAGTGTCTATATATTATTATTATAATACTACTATGCTATTTATAAACGAAAATAGTTAAGTTTAATTATTTTTCATAACTATTAACGCGAACCGTTGGAAAATACTAAATCGCATTACACTGCATTTACTTGGTTTAATTTTTTTTTGTTATTCCAATCCCAAGCACTGATAACGACTGATAACGTCCACAATCAGTTGTATTGTTTGTTTGCGTACAGACCAATGAGTTAGTCTGTCTGTAGTTACATTGTGGTCGAGTGTTTGTGATGCCAGCACGTTCAATTGCCGTTTAATTCCAATATAATAATCTAAAATAGGAGGACTGTTTCTATACACTGATGTAAGTAACTGACTTTTATCAACCGAGCAAAGTAAACGTCGAGCACCTCTCGTTATGCTTCTACTAATTAAGACGCCATCAATCTGTACACAATGATTTATTTTCTAGGTTATTTTTCCCCACAAAAGACTCTACGCATTTTGTAATAATTTCAATAATATTTACCCACTCGATTGCGATAAATGTTGTCTGTGTTTGATGCAAAATTGACAATTTCATTACTATCACTAATATTTACTATAATATGTTGTTACTCACATGACAGCGACTTTTCATCTTTCCATAACGACCGTCTCGAGTAAAAAAATAGCCAATTCGCCGGACCTTTGAGCCGAGGCTTCAGGTCGCCAGCAAACATAACTTCTAATGTCTCCGAATCGAACCCGTACATGTCTGAAAAATATATTCACTTATAGTAACTATCACAAAGACGGAGACTGTTCTAAGCTTATGATAATCAACAGCCTGAAATTACAATAAAGATTACATACGACGACAACATGTAAATCGTTTAGTTAATACGGCCTACAAATATTGTTATTTTGGCGTTGGCGTACTTTTGAATAAGACGCCATATTATTATGTACACATTAATTTTTAGTTTTATTATTTAAATTCAACATTGCCTATACTAAATGGATTAAATAGTAATTTTCCACAAACCAACAGTATTTCTTTAGCATGTCACGTTATGTTTTGTCGTTTTCAATTATCCTCCACTTTTATGTGTGTCATTACAACTTTATTGAACAAACACAACTAACAAAATCATTATGTGTACGTATTTCTTATGTTTTTTTTGATTTTATGTTACAGAATATTGCATAGCGAAAAATCTCAAGAAGTATTCACTATTGAAAAAATTCTCAACAAATGTGTGGTATATGGTAGAATTCATTACTACTTGAAATGGAAAGGTTACGACTCCATTGATAATTCATGGGAAGCAAAAGAACATCTTGATTGTACTGATATGATAGAAGAGTTTGAAGCGAATCTAGCAAAAAAAAAGCAAACAATGGCAGTCGAAGAAAGTCAGCAACAATTGGAAAATACCAAAGACAACACAAATGGTGCATTTGACAATGGATTAGAACCAGAACAAATATTGGGTGCAACTGATTCCAACGGCAAACTCATGTTTTTGCTCAAATGGAAAGATGTCGAAGAAGCAACCCTTATTGATTCAAAAGTCGCTAACATCAAATGTCCTCAATTAGTCATTGATTTTTATGAAAAGAGAATTTCTTGGATAAAATAATTATAATAGAAATGTTTTCGGTAATCAACAAAAATGATCAATTTATTTATCAAAAGATGTTCTAAAAAAATTTTGAACATTTTAAATTAAGACTATTCTCAAATTGAAGAAGTATTATCATGTAACTGATAATGTTTTAGTTTTTAATTTTTTACTATTCACTAAAAAATATTTTGTAATTATTTAGTTTATTAAATCGAATTTTATTGTAACGTAATACCGTTTTAATTAAATTCATTTTTGGTTTTATAAGAATATTTTATTGCTTCATAAATAAAACTATTGCTTTCTTATAATTATATACATAGAGATTGCCTCTACTGCCTCTACAATTGTTTTGAATTATTATGCTATTGTGAACAAATTAAATACAAAAAAAACAATATCTATATGTTAAAAATTTTGTTTCAAGGAAATTATCTGAGAAAAATTAATTTTAAGTTTTACATTTATCATTTAAAGGTATTTAATAATATTTAATTTTGAAAGAAAAAATTGTAATTAACTGAAAAAATGTATTAAGTTGTGAAAAAAAATGTTTAAAGAATATTAAGATTTTACTAAAAAAAACTTTTCTGAACAAAGAATTCCAAAAACTATATTAAAAGTCTATTTGATTACGTAACTTACAAGAATGTTCAAAAAATGTTTTTATAAGACTACTTAATATAAATGTTCACTTTTAGTTATTCAAGACAATGTAGAAATTTATAATTTAACTTAAAACTTGTATTATACTTATTGAACTTTTTAAATATTTTACTTAAGTTAAAAAAAAAATGAGATCAGCTTTTCTAGACTCTAAATTTGTATGTTTTACCTACTGCACTTATTTTTTGTATAAAGATAATAGATCTCATTACAATAACCCTAATAAGTAGAAACAAAATATTGTAAGACTAAACTCATTTTTTGGCACTTTTAATTTTTTTTTTTGTATTTTATTAAGAGTGTAATTTTAATTTGTATGTGTAATTATGTTGTGTGTATACAAAAAAAAAATGATCTAATGGCCATTACGATAATATCTAATAGGTTATTATGTATCGCACATAAAAACTCATCATTGCTGTGCTGTTAGTATGATAGTTTGGACTCGTTGTCAGTGTTTGATGTTCTAATTATTTGGAAAATTATGTAAATGTCACAAATTATCTGACTGAGAAGTAAAATTTTATAAACTACTTTATTTTATACTAATATGTAAGTAGGTAGAAATAGTATTATTGTATAGTTCATTTTAAAACAAATATATACTCAACTTGATTAATACATGTGATAACTTGAATTGTTTATTATAATTACCCGACATAGTTTTACTTCCCAACCACAACAAAACTGAAAGATGAATAAACCAAATTGTGTATTTATATCCTTTTTAGAATCACTGAAACCGTATTGACATATTTTATTACATTTTAACACTCTGTGAGTAGTCAGACTAGGGTTAAGGTTACTTTGATAATAGCGATCAACAAATAAGGTGTAAAAGAACAAAACATAAAATGAATATTACAATTATTACTGGCAATATATTTTGAGTAAATATTATAATATAATAACATACGATAGACACTAACAAACGTTTACTACCGAGTAGGGCGCAGGTAATATATCTAATATGTAATTACTATGTTATTTCATCAATCTTTAATCATTCAATGTGCACATATTGGAATGAGTAGGTTATAATTGATTTTTTGTACAATAATAACTATTGTAGGTAATATCAATGATATGCGACCCAGAACGTATTACAATATATTATTAGTGGGTAAAAAAAAAAACACTGTGCAGTACTAAATATGCTAACAAAGCAGCCGAAAAAAAGTAAGACATACACGTCAAAAGTTTAAAAAGTACAGAAGAAAGTTGTGAGCGCGCAAAAAAAAAAAAAGCTGTAAACAACAAAACAAGATACATTTTTTTTTTCATGGGTAGGTAGGTATCACAGACGGCAAGAGCTAACAATAATAATAAATAAAACGTATACATCGTTAAATAATAATATAACAAATCGATATGGTATACAACAGGTAAAACAAAATTATATCAACGTGTAAAATAATAATCTATAATATATAGGTATGGGTACGAACTTGAGTTTCGTTTTGGTAACGACACCTGCGATGATTTTGAACACATTATAATACAATTATTATTGTAGTATTAATTGTACATTTCAACGCGTTTGCCAGACAAATAACAATATTTAAAAAATCGGTTAACGATTAAAAAATACAAAAAAACGTGAAGGAAAATTACTGACTTGTCAAGATTTGAAACGGAACGCTGAACGAACAAAGAAAGACAATAAAATAATTTCGTATAGTTTTTTTTTTTTCTTAATTGACACAACAAAATGAAACAGGTACGCTCGCGTCTAGGGTTATCGATTTTCACAACATGGCCGCCCTCATGTTCTCCCGCTCGCCCCGAGACCCGCGGCGGCCATTTTGCGTCCGCCTCGAGTTGCCGGCGTACCTAGTGTATTTCGACCGGTGTCGATCACCGATGACTAGGCGTTGAACGCCGTCGATTGCTTTTCAATTATTTTTTTTTTAATTTAAACCTTCCAATCGTTCGTTAAAATATGCGCAATGCGAATAATGCGATTTTCTCAAATTGAGAAAGAAATTTATAAAAATTCAATTCAAAATTTGCGATAAAAATATGTACTTGGGAGACGCCATCTTTGACGGAGAAGCTCAAAAAAAAAAAAAGGCACGAAACTCTGTTCAAACAACAATCAAAAACAACGTCGCAAAAACGATTTTCAATTAATTGCAATAACATTATAAACGCTATTATAATTTATAAAATTTCGCCACGTTTTGTTTTTCGAATCAAAGTTAATAATCTCGTTATGATAATTATATATAAAAAACAAATATAAATTTTAGGACGCGATAATTTTCCTCTTTTTAAATATCATCAACAAACTTTTCCAAATATAATATAATATCATGTAATAATAATATATGTATAAAGGTAACACGCAACAAATTAACGAATATAATATTATCGTACTAAACACAACACATATTATATCATAAAAGACTAAGAATACACATACTGTGAACATATATATTATATATGTGTATATATAATAATAATAATAATTGCGATAAATATTTTTAATAAGTAATGTATATTATATTAATGTAATATAAAGAAGAAGCAAAATGCGATTACAATAAATACTTAACAGTACAATTTCATTATACACTCAAAGAAGCCTAGTATTCTCTTGCGGATACGCCACGACAAATAATTCTATTTATTCAGAGAGAGCTAATATATATTTTATATCTAAAGTGGACGACGGCGTGTCAATAAAAGTCAAAGACTGCATCATTTTTTGTCAATGTCAAAAAACATTGCAAGTATAAATTATTTTAGTTTATCGTATTTTAAGACTTAACATTGTATTCAAGTTATTCGAAATTGTATCCGTTGTCCATCGTTAGATTTTATACAGTAGCTCTCTGGTGAAAATTCATAGAAATCGCTCACTATCTAAATCCTTACCTAAGTATACTCCAAGGTTTATAGATAATATACTTATATAATATAAATGAGTGTAAAGTAGATAAAAAGAAAAACTTAACGTTTCTACTTACAAAATAAATTATACGTCAAGGAAAGACACCCGTACCGTAAACATTATATTGTATAAATCTTGGATAATATACTCGACCAACTAACCGACAGATGAATGTGTATACATAAATAATAATAATAACGTTTTTCTATCATTTATACTAACATATCCATAAGTATATTGTAAAGAATAATAATATTTTTTACGTAAATAACAATAATATTAAACTAACCGTAATAATAAAGGTATTGGAATAAAAATTGGTAACAATAACAAAGGCGAGAAACATTATACAATATAATAAAATTGTTTCGTTAGAAAACGACAAACAACAAAAACAATAACAGTTTATAATTAGATAAAACATTTTTTTAAGAAAAGTGTGTAGATAATGATATAATTAGAACTACATTTAATTTTTAAACGTGCAAGACTAACGGACCGTTGTCAGTAGTTTCTAAAACTCAGCGTAATTTCATCGTATTGTTTTCGACGCCGTTAACATAATAGGTACAAAAACATGAAAATCGACACAAAAAAAATGTCATTGCGCTATAATTGAATTTTTTTTGCTTTAATTGACGACATTAATTTTAAGAACTTATTTTCTTAAGTTATTAAATATCATAATAAATCTAAACTTTCCATTGTTGTAAATCGAAAAGCATGTACAAGTTTACAGCGAATGAAAAAAAATATATATTTTTAAAAATTATTTGTCTAAACCCCGAATTGACTTTGATACATATGTATTTTTTTTAGTATTAGGTACGTCCTTTTGAACTTTCCATAACAGAAAATACTCTTCGATTGTACTTGTTCGAAATTATTCATAGTTTTTTTTTTTTTAACAGGTCAGTCGAAAACGTACATAAGTAGTATGATTTACACATAATGTATACATTAATTCAATAATTATTCAACTATTTTCCAGAAATTGTATTCTAAAATTTCAAAAAAAAAAAAAATTATCCAACTGTTGTTGACTTTAATCTAAATATCTATTAAATTCTCTACAACAATGTACGTACATATAATAATAAACGTTAACATCAAATAGTAATAGTATTATTAGATTAACACGATTAAATGTTTTTTTTTTTATAATTAATTAATTAAAATAATAACATACACGGTCTGTATCAGACTCAGGCCATTGATATTGCTATAATTGTGTGAATGCATATAATTATATATATACTTTTTTTTTAGGAACGACAAACAGTATTTCTTGATAACGTTTAAAAATGTACGATAATAGGTCGGCGACACATTGTTAAGAAAAAAGTAAGACTGGCTAAAAGGAAACAATATTATTACGATAAAAAAAATTGCTTTTAAACACACTTTGGCCACTAGTCGGAGTACAAATGGGAAAGTAATTATTATTTACCGGAAAACCATCCCGATAGTATGTTTTGGATTAAAAACAAAAACTGGCCAAAGATTCGGAAGCATATGGACAGCTCATTTGTCACAGATATATTCTGAAGTTACGAAAACTTGTATTTTTTGTACGGTTTAAGGCAACGCGTTATGTCAGTCATTGTACGTTATTAGGTTTAGTCTAAAACATCTCAACTGGACTTACACACACTAGACGGGCGTTGTATTCCTGAGACAGACCGTATGTATATATAAGTATATGGACTAACAGTTTTTCATAATTATATAATAATATTATATATATATACATTGTTACTTCACTAAATTAAGTACCTATTGGCAAAAGCCAGGAACAAAAAATGTATCATCACACGACATTGCCGTGGACATCACTTAACAATAAAAATAAAAATGGACATACGGTTAACATCTAGGTAAAGAACAATAGAAAAAGTAAAAAAAAAAAAACAAAAACATAACTAAAAAAAATAGAGAGAAATAAACGTGACTAGTAAATTTGCCCAATTGGATAAATGTCATTTTAAAGAATCCTAAAACAATAATACAATTGTGATTACGAAAACAGAAAATTACTTTACAAAATATAACAATAGTACTCACACTCCGTCAAAGCCATAGACTTCTAAGACTTTTATTTCAAAGTCACGACTCTTGCACAAAGGCGGATTATTAAAAGTAGAACAACTCTCCGTTTTTCCGTATCTTACATTTTCGTCCATCCAAATCGCTTGACCGTCACTAGTCAAAATAACAAAACAACGTTTAAACAAAGAGCATAATATAATATAAATCAGACGGTATTATAGCCAAGATGCAGGACATAGAAGGTATAAATTTAACTATAAATGGTCTTGAACCAAACGAAACTGTAGTTATCGCTCCAAGAACATTTTAGAAATTGTTGAAAATTTTCTACTTAGACATTAGTTATGATTTAAATGCCCATAAATGTTTATTTCTATAACTGACTAGTAAATTAAATAAAAAATGGTAAATTAGGCAAGTTAAATTATTTGAAAAAATATCACAAGGAAAAAATGTTTAGGGTTTTTATTTATTAACTTTTAGGTAAATTTGTATTATTTTAATAAAGGTATACTTGAGCATATAATATAAATCATAAGCTAGAAATTATCGAATAAAGTAACTTTTAATTTAACGTGTCACTTGTGTAGCCTTGACACTGTACATATGTATATTTGTACATATATATAATTATAGCACATAGTCATGTTAGTAAAAAATGAATCCGTTATGTGACGGAGACGTTATTGTACTAACAGGTCTTATATATTAACAACGGTATGCTAAGACATCAAAGAATGATCGTTAAAAAGATAGTATAATCAAAATCCATACAGGGCATATTTTTTTACTTATTGAGGTTCACCTAAGCTGAAGATCACAGTATCTGAGCACGTTTTTTTTCCTCCATTTAAGACTCCTGGTTTTTATTTTATTTTATTTAATTAGCTTTAATCGTCCACACTCATTCGCATCGAAGCGTTAATCACATACATCAGTACAAGTATAATTTCTAATAAATACCCGCCACCGATGGTAATCATTTTTTGATCGGCTGCCATAAACAGTTCGTTGGCGTGATGTACGCTGTCCACTTCCATTCCGACCCACGGATATTTGGCTTTGCCGGGATAGAGACTGAACAAAAACGTCTCACCGGTACCAAAGTACGTCGTTCGGTTGCCACGGTCGTCCTTTTTGTTTCTCTCCAACCATTTGGAAGAACAATAAGCACCAAACACCTTTTGACATACGGAACATTTTTTTTTTTAATATTTACACACAGAATGATTTTTTTGTTTATACACATAAATTAACTGAAACATTGAAACGTGTATGAAGAAATGTTACGTACTTCATTGTTGCAAGTTTTTATCAACATTAGCGTGGGTTCGTGTTGTTCGACTCTAACATAAAACGTTGTTAAGCTGCATCCGTGTTCTTCTGTGGTGTAGAGAAGTATTGGTTGGTACATCGTTATCCTCACCGGCAACCAAGACCAAAGTGTAAAAAGCTGAAATTAAATTTTAAAAAAATGTTTAAACAAAACATTATAATATCATTGTTAAAGGATGGATTTTCTAAAATCTAAGCTGTGTATATACATAAAACATGCATGGTACGTGATTTGACAATTTTACATTTAAAAAAAAACCTTTTTTATTTTATGAAATTTTATAGTTTTTCTTACACACACACTTATATAGTTTCTTAAATAATTAAATCTTTATTTGCCAATAATTTTATTTGTATATTGATAATGAATAGATAATCTGTTAATTTATCATTTACAGATAACTTATCTTAATTAATTTGAAATTTAATTAAAACCAATTTTCATAAATATCAAATTTAGAAAATAACTTTTTCATTTATCTTGAATAATTTTAAATTATACTTATTGTTTATAAATGTATTAAAAACCACTAATTTTTTTTCCAGAAAATGATTTACAATGTGATTTAAACTCTTTCTTTTATTACTACTCTAACTGAGTTAACATAAACAATTAATAACGAATAAAACCTAGTAAATACTGAAACCCGCTAAATCTTTATAATACATATTTTTAATGATAAAAGTGATAGGCTTTTTATAATTTAGCTATTACCTTATAGATAATTAAAGCTCAGAAAAAATAATCTAGAGAAATGTCAGTCTATTGTGAGCAGAAATATGAGTATAATTTTTTGTGATCAATGTTTTTTTTTAATACTTAATTATTTTGTTTCTTAAATCGGAAGAAATAGTCAGTAAAAATGTTTACAATTTTTTTCTTTAAAACTTATTACGTTCTTCTAAAAAAAATTATTTTTTCTCCTCATTCCTCAAAAAATATATATAGTATGTATATCAAACAATTTGATTTTATTTTAGTTTTGAAACAAATCTAATTTTATGTCCCAGAACAATTAATTTTCTTTTTTTCTTTAAATATGTGTTGTCAAAAATGTACAAAAAACAAAATTAACAAGCCTTTTATCGTTCATATTAAAAAAAAAAAAAAAAAAACAAAGAATTATTTATATATATATACTAAAAATATATATATTGGAAAAAGTTCCAATAAAAAAGGGAACTAATTCTATGAACGTGTTGTTGTCTTTGACAAAACAGCTAAGCTATGAAATATCTAATGCAAGATAATATATAATATCTATACCTCTAAATATATTAACTACTGGGCTAAGTGTGTGCTAAACAATAATTAAAGTACAAAATTATCTTGCAAACTCAATGGAATATAAGGATCCGGTACTTTATAACAGGGAAATCATATTAAACGCTGTAAAAAAAATGGTCAAAATGTATTCAGACCTAAAAAAATTTCACCAAAGTTTTATAAAATTCACTACGATTACTAATAGAACTAAGTTCCGGACCCTAATAATAATAGAATATTATAATAAAATAACGGTTTACGCTTTTAGGATTTAAATAAAATAAAATAATAATTCAAAATAATCATGTACGCCAACAAAATGAATGGGTAAAAATAATTTTAATAAAAAAATACAAGACATGTTGCAAAAAAAAAAAAAAAATGTCCATTACAAACACGGTAAAGAAAATTGTTACTGATTGTGCGCTAGCGTTCAACCTTATAAATGACTTACATCGTGATGGTTAGCTATCAACGATCGTATATTGTTAATCGGATAACTTGCCATCGTGGAAGCCCGAGGGCTTGGCGATTGCTGTCCCTGTATCGCAGCATTATACACACAGACAAGTAACACATTATATTATTACCAAGTAATGTTTTAGCATAACCTATGCAAGTGGAGAGTTCGATAAAACTTCTTATTTATCACTGGTCGTTAAATTAAAATTGTATTTCAAAATAATTGTTTATTTCCTTGTAACTTCAATTATTTAATAGTACAGCACAATAGAAAATATACAAATTGAAACAACGCTTTTATTATGAATAGTTAGATTTCACATATAAATCCAAACTTGAAATGTTACAAACAGTGGCCGTTATTATTTAATCTGATTTTTGTCAAATAAAAACTTATACTTTGGTTACATTATGAGTTAGAAAAATTAATTTGTTAGGTAACTTGATAGTATAAACTTTAATCAGACACAATTGGACTGATAATAACGTTAACTTTAATCTATTATCACCCATAGCCATATTTTCATTATTGTTATAAGTATTATTAACAAATTGTATGCGACGAAGATAATTATTGTATTTAATTCCCAAATCAGTGTAACATAAAAAATTGTATTCACGATAAGTATTACAAAATATGAAATTACCTCACGTATTGTAAGCGTGTGTGACGCCATTTGAATGTTAATTTGAGATTGACTAGTAGGTAAATTTTCACTTGAACAGGAACGATTTAATTGCTTGGAACCGGACAAAACAGTCTTACTCTTTAACGTCATTTCAGTTTTCACAAACACTCGGTGTATGTACGTCGAACTGAGACCACGTATTTTAAATGCAGTTTTAAGCACTTTTTGTGGATTTGCCTAACACAAAAAAAAAAAAGAATTAAGTTAAAAATAAACTCTACCCGCCGGTGGTTTGTTTGAAATTAATTTCTACACACTGGCATCTGTCGGCAGAAGTTAATCAACGCTACGTCCACGCCGTGGCTGATTATTTCTTCGGCCCAAATTGAATTGCTTGCCGATGTGTACTTGTAAAAAAGCTGTAGTATCGCCATGGACACACGGTATAAGACTTTGACGCCCTCGTGAAGATAGCAATCCATGACTCGGACCTGTAAAAGTAACAATTATTAGGCAAGTATAGATGTTATATTGACAATTTGGCATATTTTAAGTCCATTTTTTTTTAATTTTTATCCATTTTTTTTTATACATTTAAACTAGTTTTAAAAAATGGGGATTTTTGAGTTTTTTTTATTAAATTTTTGTATGAAATAATATTATGTTTAAGAATTTCTTTTAAAACTGCAATTTGTAAACTATGCGACTTGGTCTTTAAAACGAAAAAAAAGATTAATTTAACATTAAACAGATAATTTGTTTATGTCTCTGATGAAATGAATAGATAAACAGGTTTGTCCACAATCTGACTTTTTTTTTTTTTTTATTGAATATGAGGTTTTCAGATTTTTCTATTGTACCTAATAAAAACTACCTACGTAAATTGTTGTTTTTGTGCAAAAAGCATAATAATCGAACCTATTATAGTTTTTTTCTACAAAAATTTGCTCGAGATACAGGTGGAACCAGAATTCACCTACATGTTATAAACCGGAATTTAATTGACATGTTTGACGATTAATGAGCAAAAAAAAAAAAATGCAATAAATACAATTTGTCTAGAATGTGTTTCTTTATAGTTGTTATGGTGTAAAAACTTTTGATGATAATTGAAAATTATTGTTAATGTATTAGTTTGCAATTAAAAATCACCTTTCTGGAAATATAATTATTCAAATGATAAATTTTGGTAAAATACAATTAAATTTGGAGAAAAAAACGCATTTTAAGTAGTTTTATGAGGTTATAACTTGATTAATGACTAATTAGCTATGTTCATTAATACTTTTATAATGTATTTATAAACCTGGTAAGGAATCCGGAAAAGAATGAATTATTTTTAAGAAGAACAAACGAAAGATTGGAACTTTTAACTTCTTTTATTTAATAGGTACGATAGAGAAGAAAATAATTTCCATAAATAAAAGCAGCTTGAACATACCGCGTGATGAAATGGAAGTCCTTGGAATATCCACCATATCCAATCCATGTACATCTTTTCTGACTTTTTGATTGGACAATGCTTTCCAATATGACCGGCTGCGGATTTCTATTGATTCGACACAATTATAAAAATTAATATTTTCCAAACAACAATTTTAATGAGCATAAAACACAATACTTACCACGTGTTTTCTACAAATATGCATAACTGTTCTCCAAGTGACTTCGTACAATAATTTTGTTTGAGTTACGAATACCAACTTTTTAGACGACACTAGACTAGTTAAACTGTTGTAACATTCTTCTTCTGTAACATAAAAAGTGAAGTGTTATAAATCATCAAAAAACTCAACACCTACAAGTCTCAATAGGTCACAATCCGATTAGTAATGAAATATTGAAAAATCTTCCGCCCAAAACAATCATACTGCTTACCTATATTTACATGCTTTTAACGTTAGAACAATACAGGCATTACAATCCGTATGTCTCTGCTTGATAACCAAAGCTCCATGGTACGCCACTAAAGAATCCTTTCACAAAGACCTCAGAGTCGCTACTGTTAAAGAGATCGCTTGCATCTTCTACTTGAGACTCAATTCCAAAATGCAATGTCATTCAAATTGATGTCATCACCCAACTGCACTCAAAAACTCTACCGGACAACTCAAGCAGACGTCTCAAACGCAATTGGTCAAGAGACTTACTCAACGATAAGCAACTAATTTAATTTCTTATTGTACAGATTATCTTTAGTTGACCTTTTTATATATTATGCATACCATTTTCAAATTTGAGGTTTTGGTAAGGCTTTTGAAAATACCATTCGGGTACTCACTTTAATCGTCTCAAAACATACTTATTTTTAAAAGTACCCATTTGTTATGTCTAATATAATAAAAATATATTACAACAAACCTGGCATGAAATGTAGCAACAACGATGTCAGTGAGTATATCGCAGGGCTATAAGTAATGTCCGGACAAGCGAATCCCAGCACGCATATAACTCTGTCGGTAATATGTTTGCCTGTCGAGTCGAGGTGATACAAATGTCGATGTTTGGAATCAACGAATGGAGGCAAGATACTTGGCTTATCTGGAAGATCTAATACACGAAAAAAATATATTACTTAATAATTACACAAATAAAATTACATTTTAAATAATTAATACTTATTATTATAATATTTAGATAATACAATGATTTTTTCATAATATCAATTAATAAATATATATATATATATATATATGTATAAATTACGGTCAATGTCAACATTTAGTGACTTGACAGTAATTTTGAGTAGGAAATATCTAATCAATTTGAATCTATATCTCATAAAATGACTATAAGTGTGTAACATTGTTCAATTTTACGAGACCAACTGAGCATTAATACTACTCGGATGTGACTGAAGTAACATTTATGAAAAACACACAATATATTAGATTTAATCTCATACTGTAAAAAAACAATTAAACATTCTTTTAGTTTTTATCATTAACATAAATTGCGTTAAAAAAATATATCACATTTCAAATTGTAATTGCTAATATTTTAGAACATTATTAAATATTTTTTTTATTATTATTTATATTTTATAGATTTATAGTAACTTTCTTGATCCAAATACTTACAAAAATGTACAAAAGCCGTCATTAACTGTAAAGTTTAGGAAAATATTGTCTAAGCGTGCTTAAAAATTACCAGTAATAGCTAGTCGTTGGGTAATCTTATGACATTGAATAAATAATGTACAGTTGACTCTGGAAATACACACAAATTACCTAAAATGTCTAATGTGCAACGACATTAAATCGACAATGCATAGTCATTACCAGAATTGTCCGAATTATCGCCAATAAATAAGTAGTGAAAACACTAGACTACTGAAATATTTTTAAAAAATGATACTTTCAAAAGGACAAACAATTATTTTATTAAAGTGTAGGATAAACTGATTTTTAGAAAAAGTCATAATTTGAATAAAAAACTTTAGTGTAATTAAAACAACAAGTATGGAGTTATTTTTTGTTTTAGTACCATATTGTAGTCAGAGTTGAGATAAGTAGTATTTCAAATTATGTATATAATACATATTTTCTATTTAAATGTGGTTTCAGAATGTATTACTTTTTTGATTTTTAAAAAACCAAGGAAGTAAAGTAATTGAAATGAAAAAATTAATGTTCCAGAACTTAAGATTTTAAGAAAATTATTTTAATATGTTGGTTCCTTTATTTGTTCTAGAACTTAAAGTTGTGAAACTTTCATTTGTTTTAATTCTGTTCTGGAACAAATAAATTTAAAAAAGCTGTTCTTCTATTTGCTGTAGAATTCTTTAATATTGTATAAGTTTCAATGAAACGGCAAAACATACATTAAAATAGCGCCGTCGGGTTAAATGTCCTTTAATTATACTATGTGTGTCTAAAAATTATGTTTAATGACTACGATGATTATATTTACCATCAAAGAATTAAAAAACTACTAATTAATATACTAAACAATTATCAATGTTTACTTTATCACTTTTAGGCCAAGAATATTATTAACAATTAATTATTTTTAATCATATTAAATGATTAAACATATCTTTCGTTTTGTTTACAATACACTTTTTAAAGTGCAAATAAAAGAACAGGACTAATAAAATTATTAATTCCAGAACTTATGTCGTTCTAGAATAATTAAAGCTATTAGTTCATACAAAATTTGGTAATCAAAAAAGTTAATAATATGAAGACGAACTACCAAAATATTGTCATATAGGTCATTTATAAAAAAACCTTTATAAATTAATTATTTCATTTTTATTACCATTTTGGTTTAGGTAATAATTTTTAACTTCAGCGTGAAGCTAGCTAAGAAAGTATTGATTTTATAATGATATGATTTTTTCTAAATTATAACACATAACTTTTTAATTATATTATCATTTATGAGATGCTACTATATGTTTTTATTTTGAATAATAATAAAATTGACATTAGTTAATGTCACTAGGTATAAAATATTAAACAAATCTTTAATTGTATATTGCAACAATATTGCCATCTGTAATATCATAAAACCATATACAATTTCTAAACCATTGGTTGAGTACCTCAACCTCATTACCAACAATCGTCCACCCACCCACTCCTTAGACAAAGGTGTGACTACAGCCACACCTTTATAGTGTGTTTATGGCTACTGAATGAAACTATTAGAGATCACACAATCAAAATTTTGAATGTACAGTATTTTTCCAAAATTTAAAAACTATAAAAATAAAATAGCTAGTTTTTACACCCAAAATTACTGACGTGCGAGGACCTCTTAATATAGAGCATTATTTTGTTTTTGGATAGTTATATTTTTTAGCTTTATCGTAAACACCACACATTGTTCTATGAAGTCATAGAACGTACAACAGGCGATTTTTACGACATCAACACATAGTTAACTCTCCGAAAGGATTACTAAATGTATCGTAGTTTTAAAGAACCAAATTATCAAGATTGAATCGTATACATACATTAACTATTGCGAGTGTTTAAGAAAAATTTTAATAAATTTCTAATCGACTTACCGGTAGATCCAAACAACTGTGCAACCAGATCCCAGTAGAACCCTTCTTGCATGTTGTTGCTGTTGTCTGATGCGTGTTGCCTGCACAGGGCCGGCCACAGCTGAGTTCTGATGGGATGATTGGACGGCCAGCAGTTATCACGCAGTATTTTTTTCACATCTTTTTGGTATCCGGCCATGAGAAGACTTTGTACCTCACCGTATGTCTTGAGCGTTTGTTTCTTGGATGCGATGGGACTGCCCGGAAAAGAGGGCGATGCCGAGATTACTGTCGGTTGTGAAGGAATGCTGTTCACGTTGACGTGTGGCTGGTAAACATCGCCGTACGCCATCATCTTCTCGTCGGTTTCCTCTTTCACCGTTGGTAACATAATCATGATGACAATTTTTCTGTAGCCGTCGTCAAACTACAACCACCATGGACGGGCGTTTAGGTGTAGTCGTTGACTGTGATGAATTTTGTCTTCCTAACGTTGGACATCACTGCGATCAGAGACCGACGACGACAGTTGTGCCGGCGCGAAGAGACCGGCACATTTGACTGGACCGACGATTACGTGCAACTGAAACTTTTACGGTTTACAATTTTAATTAAATCTGCTTGTGCGATAACTATTCCAAGAACGGTATGTGTAGCGTTAACGAAAAACGATTAGGTAGTGTAGAACAAAAAAAAAAGCAGTTTTTGTATAAAAAAAAAAAATAATAATAATAACGATGATGATGATAATAATAATAATAATAATAATAATAGAGTATTAACGCGTACAATAATAGTAATAATAATAATAATAATAATAATAATATACCTATTATAGGTATTAAGTATTTTCAAATGAAATAATAATTATTGTAGACGGTATTGTAGTGTAATTATCCGTGTATTATTGTAGATTTTTATCGAAAAAAAAAAAAAACATACACACACAGTGATAGCGGGCCAACACCTTATCTTGTTATTGATTAAAATGTATATAGCTGTTGTTCGAGTGAACCCGCAGACGCCTGTAGCGAAGCGAGCCCGTCACAAGAGGCGACTGGCCAAGGGGGAACGGACTCGACGGCGAGGCATACTATAGGATTTAGTTTTATGAAACGCCGAAACGCGCGCACGCAAAGGCCAACAACACCCGACACGGATCGGTTGAACAGTACACCTACGTTACAATGTAGAAAAAAAATAACAATAATAATGTAATTTTTTTTGTTATTAAACTGTAAAATACAATAATATACACTATACCCGTATATTATAACCTAACCTAACCGTATATTATACAACGTACGATATTATATACGTATAATATAATGAAGGGAGTCCGTGTGTGTGCGCGCCTACTCGCGACGGCCAAGTCCGCAGCGCAGGAGAGCAACTGCTGCTGTACACCCTCGCCGTCAATTAAGGGCGGCAAAAGCCAAAACTATAATGTTGTACACAATAATCTATACAAATGGAGTAATAATATCCGAGTATAATAATTCATAATGTACTACAGACTACGGTCGTTATACACACACACACACATATGTAGATACACTTTTCTACATATTATTGTATTTATTATTATTATAGGTTCTGCTCGCAAAACATACTATATATATATATATTTACCCTTTGCGTTGTTTATTGTACAGTTTTGTTTTTCGCGTTAATGCAGTCCCTCTGCTCGGAGACCGCTGTTTGTCAAAATGCCAAAAAAAAAAAACACCGTCCGTTCCTTTTTACGCAAGAACATATTTTTCACTTAACACATACGTCGGTCGTTGGCGAATTTTTTTTTCTTCTTTGCAAATACAACGACTAATGGTTTATTATAATTTTTTTGGCTAACGACGAGCGGGCAACCGTTCGCGTTATTAAAATACCAGTCCTTGTCTCGCGTATTTTAAGACGAGATATTTTCGAGTTCCCGAGTTGATCGACATCGTGTATACTTAAGTGTATAAATAACGTCGTGTGGCAGAATTTTTATATTTGTACAGCATATATACGATATTATTATATAGTAAACTACCGTGTAGAAAAAAATAAACATGTTTGCGTTACGAAAATTTGTCGGCGACCGTTTACACGGAGATTGCGGACGATCCAAAGCGACAGATTACAAATATATCTATTATGCACTACACACACACACAAAATGTATTTTTAATTTTAAAGCTTCCTCGCGAAACGAATGTCGCTGTAAAAAAAAAAAGAGATTATTTTTAATATTATGTAAACAATAAATTATACAAGCATAGATTAAATATTACAATATACAGCCATTAATTACACAAGCCATGTATACATTTTAATCTATGCTAATAATGATCCAGGTCATATGCATGTCCACTGCACCACGGAGAAGTGGTAAGTGGTAACTGGTATGCGGTTACACCGTACACGACTTGTAAATTTAAAGGGACAGTAATTATATTCGGAGTTATAAGACCCCTAAAAAAAGGGGGTAGAAAATAGCCATACCTCTTACGGTTTAAATGCATTGTTTATTTTAGTTCCAATTTTAAGATCCATTTTATTTATGTACATAGTATATAACTATTCAGGGATTGGCTACACATGAGCTTTGCCATAACACCCACGTGATTAAACTTGAGGGGGTATTCTCATTCATTATGACTATAAATAAATATTTGTTGTTTTCAAAGAAACTATTCAATCTATTCGTTTCGAAATTGGAATATGGCTTAAAACCGTTTTAGTACCTACGGGTTTAACGCACATAAAATGACGTAGGTATGACATGCAAATTCTTGCTAATATTTTTTATAAATCAGTACCTTGACAAAATTTGTCTAGTTTTGAGTTTACGTTAGTCGTCAAGTCTACTTGGTGTTATCGTTTGCACCAAATAAAACAATTTCCTTATTTGTGAGCATTAAATAAGAATTTAAATTTACTTTTTTTTTGCAAAGTCATTCGTTGGCCTAAACACTTTATATAGGCCTCAGATTGTTAGTTTATTTCTATAAAAACAAATAAATAGCACACATAAGGGCGAGGACGGGACCGAGGTGAGCTTAGGGTAGACTTTTCAAAAATTCTTTCATACCCTTGGAAAATTCAACTTACAATTTTAAAATAATTATTATAGTGATTATTTGTAAACCTTTGTTGAATGCTCAAATAAAAAAAAATCTCATTTTATTTGTTTTTTTTTTTTAATATTGGCGGCCATTTTGAAAAAGTAATAGTCTCGACTTTGGATTCAACGAAAACTGTATAGTATACAATGTTTATATAATTGGTCCCGGGTAAACAAGGCCTACGAATTAAATTAAAAAAAAAAAATATTATTCTCTAATTGACTTGGGCTCTTTTTCTACCTGGGACCCAATCGTTGAACTCTTAACTTGGGTCTAACACAACAACAATACGACGACGATAATAATAATAATAATATTTATTATTATTCATCGTTGCCTTAGGTCGGCGATGTCGACTTTTGACATTTGAATTTTGTTCCATTATCTTTACCGCCCACTTTTTGTTCAAACACACATAAGTACCCGTCTATTTTTAAACTTGAACCCTATAAACGACCGGACAACACGAATGGAAGCGGTACCTAGGTAGGTAATTTATAGTTTAGGTAGGTTAAACTCTTGTTCAAACAACTAAATTGGGTTTATACAAACACACACACACAGGTATAACATAACGAACGTGTACCGTTAAGTATACAGAACGATTGCCCCGGACGACGGCGGTAATAATAATTATTTCCAAAGTTAGACTTTTGTGTGGAAATAAAAAGAAAACGCAATAAACCCTGCGCCGAAAACGAGGTCATCCGAATCCCAATAAAGAGGGTCTCGCCGGCGCGGCGTGGAAGTTTTTATTGCCGTGTGAGCCAATTAAAACACTCTCAGTGCGCACAACATAAGACGCTGGTGAAAAGTTTATTTGTCACAATGAAACGCATTGTTGAACCGACGCGATGACCTTTTATTAATACCCGGATTTACCTACATATATACATCATCATCATATTATTATATACTTCCTAATATAATATTACTGAGAGACTAAGCGCAGCGCCCTTTTGTTACATCATTTATACAATAATAATATTGTGTTGTTTGTTTAACAATTACAATAAATATTAGGTTCGTTGAATTTGTTGGCTTCAAACCGACATTTTCTCACACGATGCTGGAATTTCGACCATTTAGGTAATATACATATTATTACACGATGCAAACAATAATTATCGAAATATTATAGGTAAATCGAATACAAACAAGATAATTGACAGGCGAGTGACTTGCCGATGAGAACTGTCAACATTGTACAACATAATATGTATTAGGTTAATCTTTTGTAACAAATTATTCGTATTCTTAATCGTGTCGGGCAAAAGACAGAAACAATCGAAGAAAGAAAAAAAAATATATATATATATATATGTTTACCAATAATAAACTCACACATGTTGTAGTACATTTACATTTATCGACCAAATCAATAATAACAATACACATTCAATATTATAGAAACGCCCACCCTTGCTCGATATAGCTACAGTTTGGGGTAGGTAGTACAAGAGGGTGCTTAAACCCTCAACTTCCATAATATTAGCACTTAAATAGTTAAATGTTTATAATAGTAAGTATCAGAGTAAGTATTTCATTTTTAAACGCATTTTTTAACTATTCCTATTTATTGTGCATTCTAAATTGTGTTTTTTTTATAATTCAACAGTTTAAGTATTATAATATCTTTAATATTGGTTGAGTTGTAACTCAACGTTTCTAAGGTTTAGTTGATAATATCACTTTTGGCAGTAGTAGCAGTTTACTGTAATATGAAGCTTGTATATTAAACAGCCAAGGGTTGCTTATGAGTTTCAAACATTATGGTAGGGATGTTGGAGTGGCGTTCCCAAAGGTCGTTCAAAATTGTCCTTGTATACCACTTCTTGCTGTCATTTCGAAAGGTCAGTATTTGAACAACTTTAAGTATAAAATATTTGATAGTCTATACTGTTATAGCGGCGATGAAAATGTATATTATTTAAAAACCTTATACTTCAAATTTGACTATTAAGTTCTGGGAATTCACTGATTTGGGCCATGAGAATACAATGAGAGGGCATTTTTATTTTTTATCTTATTTAGATACTTTTAAAACGTTTCGTGTATTATCCAACTGTTGACTGATGAAAAAACAGTTACTCATACCAAAAAAAAAAGAATGATTACATTTTTTGTAACCCCACTATCCATTTAAATCGCAACACAAAAAAAAAAATGATTGAATACCTTCAGTCATTATAATAATATTATCATGCCATTTTATAGTGATTGTACAATTTTTTTTTTGTAATGTTTAAATTATGTAGGTATAATTATTTTTACCGTATGCCGTTTGTATTTTGTGCGTGCACTTTTTGACTAGATCACTAGATTATTATACGTACCTAGTGAAACTTAATACGGTTTAAATATTGTGATAAATTAAAAAGTTAAATCAAGGCCGAATTTCGCTAAGTCGAAAATAATGATCGGGTATTGCAGCAGTTGTAAGGTTTTATCCTCAATTAAAAGTGCCTACTGCGCCCGCAGTAAAAATAAACCAAATCTACGTTTTTTTCCAAAATAAAGTTTCGAAGGTTATTAAGGTTTACGTTTTTTATATATAAAGCCATAGCGGTACTCTTAAGAAGACTAGGTACAACCTATTTTTTAGCGTTGAAACATACCAGAATGCGTTTTACTCGTTCAATGATGATTTTAGACAATATCATATCATTTTTTATTTTACTTTTAAAAATTTCTATATAACTTTTATTAAAATTATTTTTTTTAAAAACCGGACATGACATTGTCTCCGGATCGTATTTTTGTTTTTCCAAATTTTAAAAAAATGTTTTTGCTCTAAAACTACTAATGACCATGTAAAACACATTCTTGTTTACACATCCAGTTACATTTAAATGTAATAGACAGTTTAAAAAAAAAATTTGTTTAATGATACTGTGATAGTCCGAAAAATAAATGAACTTGGTACCGAAAAGGGGTTATAATTACTGAACCAATAATTACACATCAGG